AGTGCACAGCTGTGTTTCTGTCCTGTTTTTGAGCTTCTGGCCTCTGCTCAGAAGAGGCTCCATCCAGACCTAGGTGCTGAAGACCTCCTGTCGTTTGGAAGGTTTGCTTATTTATTTCACAGGTAGACACACACACACACACATGCACGTATGCACACACTCCATCTGTTGCTTAATTCCCCAAATAGTCATACTGAGCGGGCACCTAGGGAACTTCTGGGAGTTCCCCAGCCACAGCACCTTCCTTCCTCACCAGCAAACAACACCAGCACAGAGACCAGCTCATCTGGAGCAGGCTGAGGTTGAGATGCCCGAAAAGGGCCCGGGGCAGGGGCAGGAGGGCAGAGTGGCTGGTCTCCAAGGTGCTTGAGAACATAGGGGCAGCAGGTAGCTCTGCGCCCTGGGCAGTCCAGCTGCGGAAGCACACCTGTGCCTCCTTTTCCCCTATGCTCCCTTCCTTGGCAGCTGCACCTGCATTGCCCCAGTTCCCTCCCCTTCTTGCGGTCTCCCCAGCAGGAGCTCAGACAACTCCCCAGGGTGTGCAGGGGAGGCCCTGTTTGCACCCCACCCTCTGGGCAGAGCTCCCTGTGAAAGGAGTGGCACACATGCTTCTCCTGGAAAAGCCAGCAAGAACAGGACTTTAGCATGAAGACCACCCCAAAACCAGCGGTCACACCACTGCTCTCAAGAAGTGGGACTTGCTCTTCCTCTTCTGTTGCACAAAACAGACACATGCAGCAGCACTATCACTCCAGGGGGAGTCTGCCGCATTACCTCACCCTGCACACAAATGAAAGCCTGCTCAGCCCTGATGGCCCTGGCCCACACCCCCACCCCGTGCCTACAGCCCCAGGGAAGCTGCTGCTGGTTGTTCAGATGCCACTGGCATGCTGTCACCTGCGTCCACCCCCACCTGACAAAAGGCCCTGCTTAAGTTCACTCTGTGGCACCCCTGGAGGCTTGGCTTCCACCTGCCCCACTTCCCCTGGTGCCTGATCAAGTCCTCCCTGCAGTGGACAAGTCATGCCTTTGCTGAGGAAGCAGAGCACGCTGAGCTCTGGCAGACATTGGCAAACGTACCCACTTGCAGAAGCCTGTCCCCTCCACACACCTTAGGCAGGGTCACCCTGAAAGAATGAAGTGGCGGCCCGGCTCTGGGTTCGTGGCTCCCAGTGTTGCCACGGATCGCCCCAGTCCTGCCCTGACCAGCTGCAAACAGCATAGCCCCAACGCCCCCGCATCTGTCCATCCTGCCTGCTCGCCCCTGCTTGCCTTTCCATTTCTGCTGCTGCGCCTCTGGGCGAACAGCCTTCCTGTGCGCATACCTCTGTCACCCAGGGGTGCCTCGGTGAGCAAAGGCAGAGCTGGCTGCAAGCCTTGGCCAGAGACAAACCCAGGCCTCAGACAGCAGCAACTGCCCACAGCCTCGGGGCGTCTCCCTTCTCGACACAGCCTTCCTGCGAGCAAGGCATCCTTCCCTCCCCCTGCCAAGCCGCCTAGGTCCCAGTGGTGCCTGCAACCCGCGGCCGGCACGCAGGAATTCTTTCCACCAACGCCCATGAAGAAGGCAGAGCCGGCTGAGGAGTTATCGGAGCAGCGTGGGCCAGAGCCAACTTCTCCCAGCGGCGGCTGCACCCACAGGAACCCACACCACCAGCTGGCAGGGTGCGCATCCAGGAGAGCCGCTGAGCCGGCTCGGAAGGGAGAGACCTCGTCCCCAGTCCCGCCGCAGGACCGGGGGAGTGGGGAGAGAAGAGGGCGAAAGAAGCAGGAGCTCAGGAAGAGGGGGAGGAGACTGGTCCGCCAGCTGCTGAGCAGCAGGGGAAATAGGGCTTCTAGGATCCCGCGCTACGGAGAAACTTTGGGACCTGCGTTGATCCCAACCCCATCTGCGGGAGAACAGGGTTCCGCTGCCCGTTGCCTTCCGGAAGGGCAGGCGGCACCCCGGGCCGGTGCACAGAGGCTGACAGGATCCCGCCGCCGAGGACACGGTGAAGCGAGGACACGGTGCCGAAACGGTGAACGCTCGCGTGGGACTGGACTCCTGGTGCCGCCCAACCCCCCTGTCCGGGTGGGGAGGGAGGGGAACCCTGGAAGCCTGGAGCTGGTTCCAGGGCCGGCCTGGAAATGCGCAAATCCAGGAAGTGATCTTGGGTGTCCCAGGAGCCGGGATGGCTGCAGGCGACACTGGGAAAGGAGTGTGCGCTTTTTTCGGTCCAACTTCTATGCATTCGGTCAGGACGCGTTCCAGGAAGAGTGGGTGCTGCCACGCCAGGGCCCTCGCCCCTGGCCCTTCGCCCGTCCCTAGCCAGGGGCATCCCCTCACTGGACACCCAGCAGCCTGGTGGCCGGACGTTAGAAGACTGGGGCCATGTCACAACGTGCCGTGCCACGAACAAGAACTCCTGAGAACTGGACTGAAAGACCCGACCACTAATGCAGTAATGGCAGCTGTTTCCCCACTCAACTCTGCCAAGGGCCCCCGAAGGCAGCGGCTGCGGCGCGACAGTGTGAGGCTCGGCGGGGCTTTTATTGACACGCCGGGTCCTCAAACGGCTTCCAGCACGAAGCGGGAGGAGGCGGGTCGCGCCCGGCGCAGGGGCGTCGCCGCGCATCCCAGGCCCGCGAGCGCAGGCCACAGCGCCCCCTCGCCGCCCGCGCCAGCTAGCTGCGCGCCACTCGGAGAGGCCCCGGGACGCCGCGGTGGCGGCCACAAGCTTAGGCCCTGGCCGCTGACCACGGTTCCACCCGCGCCGGACCTCGGAAAAGACAAGCACGCTCTTGGGGCACGTGGCTGCGTCCCCCGGATGCGCACACTCGCAGCAGGACAGTCTGCGCAGACTGAAGGCTCACTAGGAGCAGTGATAACTTTTCTCCCTTCCTTTCCTTTACTGTACGCGCGGGTGGGAGTCGGTGGAGCCAGCCAGAGCCGCCCGAATCGCAGTGCACAGCGCCAGGACCCCAGCTCGTCCCGGAGCAGGGCGCCCGGTGTCCCAGAGGCCCGGGACACAGCCCCGCTCCGAAGCGAGGCCTCCACCCTGGCGGCCGGCCTCTCGCCCCTTGGCGTAAAGCAAACACCTAGCCAACCTAAACCCATGCAAAGTGGGGTTTTCGTTTTGTTTTTAATAAAGATGCTTCCGAGCGAGGCGGAGTTTATTTCAGTAACAATACAGAGCACGGATTTTCCCACGCTCTTTTCTGCGTGGGCATCTTATTGTACTATAGGCTCTACTTGTAGGGGTGGCGATCTGCAAAATTCTGCAAAATTCGGACTTCGGCGGAAAGGGGAGACGTGTGTAGGGCAGCAGCAAAACGCAGGCGGGGCAGGGAGAAGCCGTGCCTGGCAGCCGCCCGCTCCAGCGGGCACAAGGCGGCACGGGCACAGCGGTGCGCCCTGTTCATGCACCAAAAGATCGCGGCTGGAGCCTGGGCGCCGGCTCCGCAGCCGCTGCTTGGGGTTGTAACTGGCGCTGGCTTTGTCCCTGCTGCCCCGGCAAGGCTCTGGCTCAGGGGACAGGGTCGCGGGAGCAGGCAGAGAAAGCACTAGTCCAGATGCTAATGAGGGCGCAGCAGAAGCCGGCCTGAGGGGACGCCAGGGCTCCAGGCCGCTGGGCCTCAGAGGTAGAAAGTAGACCCGATATTTTTTTTTCTCCCCGCACTTAATCTGGGAGGCGCAGAATGGCCCGAGGGGGTTCCCCATGAACCAGGTGTCTTGGGGCTGTGGATGGAGGAGGGAAAGGGGATCGCTCTGGGGGAGTGCAGGGATGCCCCAGACGGGCCGGCCTGTGGGGCCAAACACCTGCCGGAGGTGACCAGGAGGGCGCGGGGCGGGTGGTCTCTGCGCCGCTGCACCGTGCACGCTGTCGGACCTTGTGCAAGGTGAGAGTGTGGTTTGGAGAGAGCCGGGGCGGGGGCGTGTCGGCCAAAGAGCGGGTAGGAGGCTTGGTGGGGGCCCAGGGTTAATGGAGCAGGGAGGGACCACACGACTGCACCTACCTGAACCGCCGGCCTGCAGGCCCGGGCCGAGGAGGCATCCTTGTGCAGTCCAGCGCCGCAGTTTGCTGAGGCCTCGGAGCTGGGGAGAGACGCGAAGGCGCAGTGCCCCGCAGCCCCCGCGCCCCGCTCCGCGCCCACCCCAGTGCGGCCGAGCCGTCACCGCACGCGCCGGGTCGGCACCTGTTGGGTGTGCTCGGGCACCTGGGCAGAACCTCGTACGACCCCCGAGCGCCCCCCGCCGGCGACCCCTCGGCCTGACTCAGAACGCCGAGTCCCAGCTGAAGCTGCCTGCGTCGGGGGCTGCCCCGCGACGCCCCCATCCCGGGGTACCTGTGAGGCAGGCGGGCCGGTCGGGCCGGTTCCACTCCTCCGCAGGAGTCCGAAGAGCCTGTCCACTGCTGGGAACGAAAGGAAAGGGCTGCGGGAGGCAAGGGGGAACCCCGGGAGCCGGAGACGGCCGCCCCCGCCGACCTCGGGGCGCTCCGCGATCGGCCGGCCAGCTGGGGCGCGTCGGGCCGCGGGACGGACACTCGGGACAGGGGCGCCTGCCTCCCCCGAGGCTCTGGGTCTGGGATCCGCGGGGCCGTGCGGCCTCCGCCAGCGCACCGGCCTGGCCCGACTGAGCGGCCTCCACCCCGGTCCGTCAGGGCCGAGCTGGGGGCGAGGCAGGGGTGGGACCGAGGACGGTGACCGGGCCTCGCAGCTGCGCGTGCGGACACGAGGGGGGCGCACCAATTCGGCGGCCGGGGTGCGCGGCGCAGGGCGGCGCAGGGCGGCGAGCGGCGGCCCCGGGCGCCGGAGCTCCGAGGAAGGCGGCTGCGCCACAAAAGCCGGCGCTCCCGCCCGCGCCCCTCCCCGCGCGCCCCTCCCCCGGCCGGGGCCCCGCGGCGGCGGCGGGCGGAGCAGGGGAGGGGCGGGCGCCCGAATATGCAGATGAGCGCGTGACGGACAGCTCGGCGTTCCAATGTTCCTCGGAAACTCGAGCGCTCCTTCCTCAACTCCTCACTCCCGACTCGAGACTCCCCCAAAGCCCGACCGCCGGCCTGGCGCGCGGCTGCGCCCACCGGCTCCGCGCCGCCACCGCAGCCGCCGCCTCGCCGCGCCCCCCGCCCCGGCCAGTGCCCGGGCGGGCCTGCCTCGGCCCCGCGGCCCGGGCGGCCGGCGGTGGATGGAGGGCGCCGCGCGCCCTGCCCGCTGCTCGGCGTGACGCGGGCCCCGCGCCCCGCGCCCACCATGTCCTACCCGCAGGGCTACCTGTACCAAGCGCCCGGCTCGCTGGCGCTCTACTCGTGCCCCGCGTACGGCGCGTCCGCGCTGGCCGCGCCGCGCAGCGAGGAGCTGGCGCGCTCGGCGTCCGGCTCGGCTTTCAGCCCGTACCCGGGCTCGGCGGCCTTCACGGCGCAGGCGGCCACCGGCTTCGGCAGCCCGCTGCAGTACTCGGCCGACGCGGCGGCGGCCGCCGGCTTCCCGTCCTACATGGTAACCGCGCTGCGTGGGGACGCGGAGCGCCGGGGTGGGGGGACTGGCGCCGAAGCGTGGGGACCGGCTCCCGAGGCACCCGCGGGGGCAGCCGCGCCGCGTGCGGAATCGGGAACCAGGATGGGAAGGCAGAGGCGGCCAGCGGGGTGAGGATCGCTGAGCTCAGCCGGGGATCCGCACCCCTTCGGCAGCCCGGGTGAGAAATCCGGGCAGGCCGGGGGCTCCGGAGGCGCCGCTGGGTTCCCCGGGGCAGCTACCTGGCGGTTCGGTGCATTTACCACTTGCCGGGCTGCGGGGCGGGAAGGGCGGTGGGATCGCGGCGCGGCAGCAGTGAATGGCGCATCCGGCTGCGGCTCCCGGCTTGGCTTTCGTCGGTCCGGCAGAGACTGAGGGCCCTGCAGGCTGCGCCCGCCCGAGTCCCCTGTTCGTACAGGGAGGCTCCTTTTTCCACGGCCGGGCCGGCGCCAGGGGTGCTCCGGTCGGCAATCGGAGGGGGACTAAGCACATCTCGGGCGAGGGAGGCCATGGGGAGGGTGGGGACTCGTGGCCACCACTAGGCCAAGGGTGGGCTTGCAGGGCGCGGATGGGGTCGCCCAGGCCTGGGCCAAGTCTGGGGAGGACTGAAATTTAAACGTTTCAAGGAGGAATTAAAATGCTAATCACAGCGTTTTTGAAGAATTCGAAACGGTGGCTGGCTTCTGAGTTGCAAATTGGATTTGCCCAGCTTTTGCGTGGTGAATGGAGGAGTGGAGTTGGGGGGTGGGGGCGCTGTTTTGGCTTCTTTTTTTTTTAACCAAATCGGGGCGGAGATCGGAGCGGTGGCAGCCGCGCTCAGAGCCCCTGCGGAAACGTGAGGTGTCCGGGAACGACCTGTGGTCCCCCGTGCGCGCGGCCCTGAGCATTTGTTCGCACGCGGCTTAGGAACGTTTCGCGGGAGACATCTCCTGTTGGGAAGGGCGAAGAGTTCGGAAATAAGTGGAGAATAAACCGCGTTCCTTTTTCTGATTAACGACTGGTTCTCTCGGTGCGCGCCCTCACGCTGCCCGCTGCCGGATCCGCTCCGTGGCTGGGAGAAGCGCCCAGTTGGCCACTCGCCCTCACCGGCTCTTGTTGGTTCCAGGGCGCCCCGTACGACGCACACACGACCGGGATGACCGGCGCCATCAGCTACCATCCATACGGCAGCGCGGCCTACCCCTATCAGCTCAACGACCCCGCGTACCGCAAGAACGCCACGCGCGATGCCACGGCCACTCTCAAGGCCTGGCTCAACGAGCACCGCAAGAACCCGTACCCGACCAAGGGCGAGAAGATCATGCTGGCCATCATCACCAAGATGACCCTCACGCAGGTCTCCACCTGGTTCGCCAACGCGCGCCGGCGCCTCAAGAAGGAGAACAAGATGACGTGGGCCCCGCGCAACAAAAGCGAGGATGAGGATGAGGACGAGGGCGATGGTGCCAGGGGGAAGGCCGAGAGTTCCGACAAGGCGCAGGAGGGCACCGAGACCTCCGCGGAGGACGAAGGTGAGCCCCCCTCAAACTCCCCGCCCCGCCCCACACGGCCTTGGGCACCTTCTTCCCAGGCGGGGTGCGCCTACAGGGAGGCCAGGGGGTTAGCCCGATCTGGGGCTGGAGGGGCCGGGTTGTCCCTGCAAACCTCCGACCGTGCCCGCGCCCCCGCAGGGATCAGCCTGCACGTGGATTCGCTCACGGATCACTCATGCTCGGCCGAGTCGGACGGGGAGAAGTTGCCGGGCCGCACTGCAGACCCCCTGTGCGAGTCGGGCTCCGAGTGCAAGGACAAGTACGACGACCTGGAGGACGAGGACGAAGAGGAGGAGGAAGAGGAGGAGGGCGCGCGGGACCTGGCGCCGCCCAAGCCTGCGACCTCGTCGCCGCTCACCGGCGTGGAGGCGCCGCTGCTGAGCCCCCCGCCCGAGGCCGCACCCCGCGGTGGGGGTGGAGGCGGCAAGACGGCCCTGGGCAGCCGGACGTCGCCTAGCGCGCAGCCCCCGAGCAGCAAGCCCAAGCTGTGGTCGCTAGCCGAGATCGCCACGTCGGACCTCAGGCAGCCGAGCCTGGGCGCCGGCAGTGGGTCCTCGGGAACCTCAACGGCCGCCGTGCCCGCCCCGGCCGGAGGACCGCCCGGTGGCTCGCCCTACCCGGCCTCGTCGCTGCTCGGCCGCCACCTCTATTACACTTCACCCTTCTACGGCAACTACACAAACTACGGGAACTTGAACGCGGCGCTGCAGGGCCAAGGGCTGCTGCGCTACAACTCGGCGGTCGCTGCCTCCGGAGAGGCGCTGCACGCCGCCCCCAAGGCGGCCAGCGACGCGGGCAAGGCGGCCGCGCACCCGCTGGAGCCGCACTACCGCGCCCCGGGAGGCGGCGGCTACGAGCCCAAGAAAGGTAGGCTGCGGGGCTCCACGGAGAGGGAGAGTGGGCTTTGGCCCCGGTGATCTGGGACTACTGGAAAAGCCAGGCCTGGGGCCAGCGAGACCCTTGCATGTGGGGGACAGGGAGAGGGAGGCTCCGGGTCCTGGAGAGAGGTTGGGTGGGCCCTCATTCTCGTCCTTTAATTCCCCATTTCTTGCTATTTTTGCTGCTGCTTGTACAGGCCAGACTGTAGGGTCTGGGCAAGGCAAAAAAAAAAAAAAAAAAAATCCCCAAACTCTGGTCACGCCGCCGCGCAAGCCGGGTCCAGGAAGGGGACAGCTGTTCCCTGTGGCTCGGGGACGCCAGTCCCGCTGGCGCCAGAGCTCGTCTCCCGCTTCACCCTCGTCCCAGTGGCCTCGTGGCTGGCCAGGCACCTGGGGAAAACCCAAAGGAGAAAGCTGAGGGCCCAAAGGCGCCCTGGCAGCAGCCGTGGAGGAGAGTGGCCGGGCGCGGGTGGGGGCGGGCTGCTGGCCGGGTGGGGGTCTGACTCACCGCCCCCTCCCCGACAGATGCGAGCGAGGCCTGCGCGGTGGTTGGCGGAGGCGTCCAGCCCTACCTATAGAAGGGCCGCACAGCAACGCACGTAAGTGGGCGCCGGCGCGCCTCCCCTGGGCCCCAGGCCACTGCAGCCAAGCCAGGCCGGCCTTTTGCTTCTTGTCGGGGTGGGGGAGGGGCAGAGCAACTCTCTGGTTCCTTCCTAGTAAAGGAAAAGTCCTTTTTAGCTGGAATCTGCACGCGCGTGCACACACACACACACACACACACACAGCGCCGCCCCCCCAGTCTGGCACAGTGCGCACCCCCTCCACACACAGGGACTTGGCCTAGGCGAGCTCCTGCCCCCAGCTCCGCAGAGGAAGCAGAGAGGAGAGAGCCTAGCCTGCTCGCTCTGGGGCCGTGGGCCGGTCTCGGGGAGAGGTCTGTCAGATCGGAGCGAGGGTGCCCGGCTCGCCCTGACTCCGTGGACCATGTGCGGGGGTGGGGTGTCGGTGGAGGATTGGGGATGATTTGGTTATTTTTCCTTGGTCCACAGGCAGGTGTCACAATTGCTTTGGAAACAATACTAATAAAAAGTCAGCAGACTGGTTTCTGTCCCCAAGTTCCTAAGCTGCACCCCTCACTCCTCTAGACCTGGACAATCTTGCGCCAGCGTGAGCCGGAGCCGGCTCTCCGCCGCAGAGCGTGGCCCGAGGACTCCTGTCGGACATACCTGAGTGTGTCAGCATAGTATAGCTTCCAGATGTATGTGTGACTTTTGCAAACTTCCCTGTTTTTTCTCAGGATCTCTTGAATCACTCACTTCATCGCCATGGTATATATAAATATCTGTATATCTCCTCTAGGTGTGATGGATTTCTGTAAAGTTTATTTGTAAAAGATGTACACAGTAGAGATACAGCGTGATTGAAGAACTTGAGTACTTCCCAAGTGGAAACAAATTTGATATTTATTTTTATAATGATATAAAAAGCTTCTAGTAATTTATGCAAGTTGTATTGCAATGGAATCTAAACTCTTTTTGTAAATAAATCCTGCCTGGTTTTTATTTGAACGTTGCTGGTTATACAATCTTTGTTGGTTGTTTAACACGGATTCTTTACTAATTTATATCTGAACTTGTAAATAAAAGCAGCCTAGTCTACAATGCCTGCGGTGTTGGGGATGCTGTCCGGGATGGAGCCCAGGAGCCCAGCCAGCAGGTGAGCTGATTTTTTTAAAACATTAAAGGCTGTGTGGATTCAGCTCACCCCTGGAGAAGCAGGCAAGGCGAGAGAGGACCTCCAGGGGGAACCCCGTGTGCCCACAATCTGTAGAGGTGCCTTGCCAGATAAAAAGACCCCAGTGGATATGCAAATGACTTGTTAGTGTACCTGTTTTTTTAACTTGGTGAAATAAAATGATCTGACACCCCTATGCATTTCACATTCATTTCCCATGCATCTGGATCCTATTGGAAGGCAGGACACGGGGATTGTTACAGCATCACCGTGGAGGGGACCCCGCCCCTCCGCTGCACTAGGGGCTGATGGAGTACTTGCTGTTTGCAGAGCGGGCTGCCCTGGCAGCCAGGTGGTCAGCTCTCCTCCTCTCAGGGGCCACGCAGAGGGCAGACAGCAGTCCCCGCTCAGCTCCTGCCCTGCCTTACCCTGCAGGGAAAGAAAAGTTTAAAGGGCCTTAGTCTGTGGCCTCTTTATTGCCTTACTCACTTTCTAATTATAGGACAAGTCTAAAATTTGTAGCCGAGTAACATATCTCCTTTGATTAGGATCATAAAAGCAACAAGCCTGTCACTTTAATTTTCAGCAGAATTATATGGATATCCACGTAATACGACTCCAGAGAAGAGACGAACAATCATTTATTTCCTCTGCAAAGATAAATTGAGTGAATATAACTGACGGTTATAAAACAAGAATAATGGCTTCTTAGATTGCCTTTTAATCAATCATACACTTATTTTTCAAGAGGTTCATCTATTTTATCCTGTGATTAATAACGCTGCAGCTGAGGGCATTATTGCATCCCAGCAGGGCGGTCTCAGCGGCTTTGAGCGCTTCGGAGTGGTCAGTTGGGGTTCATTACAGGCTGATATTGAACAATTTATAAAATCTTGTCTAAACATCTGCCGGCTGAGTTGTCTGAGGATGGGAAGCCGCGAGACCCGTTGATGTTGACAAACGGGATCTCTCCTGGGCAGTTTCTCTTTCCTGCCATGGAAAGGAGTGGCACTACAGTCTTGTTGGGAAAGGGTCCCTGGAGTTGCTGCTGGCTGCTGGAGCCCCAGAGAGCGGGGAGGCTGCCGCGGGGCAGGGGCCCTCTGGGGGACCCACCCAGGTGGTGCTAGGAGCTTTCGGTTTCCTATTCTCACGCATTGTGCTGCTTCTAGGTGCCTTTGCCCTTAGATCTGGAAGCCATTTCTCTCTCCTGCCCACCAGCTAGCGCTGAGGAGGCCAGCCCTGCGGGAAAGGCTTTTCACCCGGGAAGCTGCTACGCGCCTGGAAGCAAGACGTCTAGGGAAGTGCCTGTGAGCTTTCACTTGCTTGCCTGCCTTGGGTTAAAAACACAAAACCGTCCTGGAATCGCCCAAGAAGCCTTTTAGCTCCCAGGCGAGGGAGAGCCTGAGTCTGGGTTGGAAGGCCAGTCCCTGTCCAGACTTCAGCGGGGACACAGTGCCATCCACAGCTGCAGTGTCCCTGTCCCAGTTCACTTCCAAGACCCGGGGGAACCAAGGGCAAGGCAGGTGCAAGACGGCGCCCAGGAGATGGCCAGCAGGCGCCTGGGTGAGAGCATAGCTGGCGGTGCTGGGCTTGGGGTTCTCGGCACAAGGCCTGTGGCAGCCCCAGGTCCCTCCCAGCCACCCCCACTCCCCAGGCCTCCACGCTGGTGAAACCCAGAGCAGCTCAGGAGATCAGCTGGGCTGAGCGGGGCTCTTTGATATTTATATGCCCAACAAATTCTCAAAAACTCCCTAGCTCACCCACCCTGCCTCCTGACCTGGTTCGGTTTCTGGGCAACTTGGTTTTAACCTGTACAGTAAGAACATAAGACTCGCAGATGATGGGAGGGATCCAGTGATGAGAGAATGCAGGAAGGGAAGCACGGGCACAACGGGGCGTGCTGTTTACTTGTATTTTAAGACTAGCTCCTCAAAGCCTGCTTGTTAAAGACAGCCCATGTTCGGAGCGCCGCACCTGCTGGGCACCCCCACCCGACCCCCGCAAGACCCGCAACCGGGCTACAGGCACCACAGGGTCAAGTCGCGTCCCCCTGGGGTGCAGGCCTGGCCGCCAGCCCCTCCGCCCTCTGTGCCCCGCGCGGCCCTTTTTGTGGGGAGCTGGTTTATCGGAATCTACGCTTTCATCTCTGGTTGGGGGGGCGCGGGGCAGGCGCTGCGGTGAGCACCCCGGGCGCTTGCCCGGCGGCCCGCGGCCGTCAAATGTCAACATTTGTTCCCAATCAAAGAGTGATTGTTTCTGCGGAGCTGCCGGGCAACTGGCTCTGGAACTTGAAAAGCGCTCGGTGCACCTTTGTCTGCGCGCGGCGGGGGGCCGCGGGGCGGGGAGAGCCGAGGCGAAGCGACAGTGCGCGGGGGCGCGCCTCCTGCGCCCACCCCTGGCCGCGGCCTCTACGCGGAGGAAGCAAACGTGGCCTGAGTAGCCACCCTGCAACCGCCCGACCCCCGCGCGCGGGCTTCGTGTAGCTGCGTGAAGCTGACTTGGTTTTAATCGCGCGGTAGAAAGCCCGCGGGAAGGGACCCTGCCCCAGCCCCGCGCCGCGGGCACGGCTGGATTCAGCCACTGCAGAGGACTCAGGGCTCGGGCCTTTGAAAATGTGAGCAGGTCCTTGGGATTAGGGCGTCTCCCCCAGGTGACAGCGCAGCCTGGAATGCCAACTGCAGTCTGGAAGTCCATCTGCCAGCTATGTGTGTGTCAATTCCTTTCAAAAAATAACATTTTCATTACTATTTTTTAAATGTGACAACCCGAGGGGCGATGTGAGGAACAACTGGGTGAATCCAGTTGCTGGATTCCTGCAGATCACCGTGGCACGGCTTTCTTTGATGAACCCAGAGCCTTTTGTGCCGCAGACAAATCCCGACACTGGGAAGGGCTTCGTGTAAGAAGTCCTCGATGACGACATAATTCTGAAGCTGCACAGTGCTCCCAGCCGGCGGCCCCAGGGTCCCTGCAGGCCCTGCCACTCCTGGACCGCCCAGGCCACAGTTGGAGGGGCTGGGAGGCCACTGCCCTGTGCTTTCCTCCACCTCCCCAAGCCGGGGCCCCAGGCTCCTGTCCCCCCAGAAGACGTTGCCAGCGGAAATGCAATGTCAGTAAGAAGAGGAATGGCTTGTGAAATACAGACCCCGGTTCCGTGGCAATGCCAGGTATAAGAAGGAAGAATCTGTGTTTGTTGAAACCTGGCCCCAAGATCATACGAATGCTTTTTATTTTAAGGTGTTCGGCTGTTTTGTTCTCTGTGAAGCTGAGAACAAATTCAATCTCCCTTTCTTGGAGAACACCCGTGAGGCTTCGGGCTGCCTGCCTGCCGCGCGGGAGAGGGACTTCACAGACAGTGCCCAGGGGACACGCAAAGTGTGCAGGAGATAAATTGGTGATGTGTATTGTGTTGTAGGGTCCCGATCAATTATTAATCGTTAGTGTCAACAGCAAGGTTATAATTACCTTCACTTATTTTCGGGGATATTTGCTTTCTGGTCTCCCGGATCGGGTCATCAGCCGGTGTTCCCCGACCAGGGCACACAAGGTCTCAGAGGACCAGGCCTGGGCCACCCTGTGGCCCTGGCGACCTTCCAGGGGCGCACACCCTCCTCGGAAATTGCCTTCCTGCCGCCCCTCTGTTCCCTCTTTCTTGCTTCCCTGCCTTAGAGGGGGGTTGCTAAAGAATTAGGGAAAGGGGATGACAGCGCGCCCTGGGTTTGTGAGGGCAGGGAGCGCGCAGGCAGGGCCAGAGGCCGTAAGGGCCGCCTTTCCTGTCCTGTACTCCCCGGCTCAGGGAATCCAAGGCTTTGGCCCTGGGACTCCTCGGGGGAAGCTGGGGACTTGGGAGGCCCAGGGGAGGGCGCTGCGCGTTCGCCCGGCGCGGGTGCTCCCCGGTGCCCCGCGCCTTCTGCTCCAGCGAGGTGGGGGCGGAGGCTCCGTGGCCGCAGGGGTGACACTGCCGACAGAGGCAGCAGGCGGCCGGGGGAGCTGAGAGCGGAACCCGAAGCCCGCTGGGAGCTCGGCAGCAGGCGGGTCGCCCTGGGCGTTGGCCCCCGCAGCGGGGCCAGGGCGGCGGTCCACCCGGCCCGCGGCGCTCCTCGCAGGCCCCTGGCGCCCTCGTCCGGGGGAGCCTGGGCACCCTGGGCAGCCGGAGCCCCTTCGGTGTGCGCGGCTCCCGCCGTCCCTGGGCTTCCACAGCACCGCCCGCCTCGCTCCACCCGTCGCCGCGCCATCCAGCTGACTCCCCAGACCCATTCTGCCCAGCCGGCTCCGGGGGTCAGCCACAGGGGCAGCGGGCCAGGGTGCGGCCGCCTTGAGCCGGTTCTGCAGGGAGCGACCCCACCAGCTCGCCCGAGGCCCAGCGGCCCCGGCTGTTCCCTCCGCGGCCCTCGGGGCCCCAGGGCTCGGCCGAGCGAGGGTCCGGCCATCCGAAGCCTGACCCGCAGGGCCGCAGCCAGGCTCACGGGACGTCCGCGAACCCCGCCTCAACCCGGGCCCCAAAGCGGAGCCCGAGGTCGGAGCGAGGACTCCGGTGCCCCGGCGCAAGCTTGTCCCGCGGCCCCGCTGGAGCCCCTGCCGCCTCCGCCCTCCCGGCGGGCCCCGCTGGCGCCCCGGGACGCGCTGTCGGCTCTCCCGGCTGCAGCGCCCCGGGTGTGCGCCGGAGCGGGCGGAGCGCGGCGGGCCGGGACACCGGACAAAGCGAAAGCGGCTACGGCGAGGCCCGGCCGGAGGCCGGCGGCGGATCGCGGCCCTGCTTGGCGCTGCCCGCTGCCCCCATCCCTGCTCGGTTGCCGGTGCGGAGTCTTCGTCGCAAGCACGTCCATCGCGCTCAGCATGGAGCCCGGGGTTCCTGAGGAAGCTGCCTCCTGTCTGAAGCGCGCTGAGTCAAGCTAAGGCAAGGGAGCCACTTCCTTTCCCAGCAAAGC